TTATTAATTCCTAACTTTGTTCTGAGACACACAAATTTTATGCATTCCTTCTTGAAAAATACAAAAAAAATGAGGTGAAGAGAAATTCATCTTCCCTGTAGATGGTGTGTGGGGTGTTGGTTGAATCCAGATTCCTTTCAGAGTGTTGGGTTCTGGGCTGATTTGTTTGTCCCTACTTTGAACTGGTGCGTGGTAACCACTTTGAAAATGTAGCAGGAACAGAAACTCAGCTTTGTGTTTGAGGTTCTGTGACTAGAAATGAACATTTACCTTACTTAGGAAGCAGCTGGACAGGAAAGAATCCTAGTGCTGTTTAACTTGGGTAAGAGCTGGTTTTTGAAGTGTATGGCAGTTCATTTTTCCTTAAATACAGTTTCCCTACTGCCCTTATTGAATTCTTTATTGATGTAAATGAAGAAATATCTGAGGACTGCAATAAAGTCTGGTGCTCCTTCTCCTTAGATGGCAGGTTATTTTTGTTTTCCATGGGTTTTCCTTTTGTCTAATGTTGTCTTAGGTTAAAGACAAATAATATTAATTAGACAATGAGTATTTTTCAAAATATTGCCCATCTAGGACTTGTGCTTGTCACTGAAATGCTAAATCAAGGGCATCAAGGATCTTCAGTTTTATTGTTACGAATGTCACTATTTGCCAGATGGGCACCTGAGAAGTCTCTGAAATAGAGGCAAATTTATTCTTTTTGAGCAGTTATTGATAATAAATGGCTTTAACCAAGTGCAACAACTGTGTTCCTTCTAGAAAGGGAACTAAATTTAGGCAATTTCTTTTCTGACCAAAAGGTAACAGCATTGGGCCTGAAGTCTGGTAGTTTTTCAGATCAGAAAGAAATACTGTTGTATTTTTTTAAAGCACAGCATAGAGCCTTGTCTTAAAGCAAGCACAGCATTTGCAGAAAGAACATCAGAGTGAGTTTGTTTTGTGTGCCCGTGTATCAGAGGCTGCAGAACCAAACCATTGCAGAGCTGTAGGGAGAGAACTGGTTTGTGCTTTAGAAAGACTCAGCAATTTGGCTTCTCTGTGCCTGGGAAGCACAACTGGGCAACCAGAGCTCTGAAATGATTAAAGGACCCCAAACCCATGATCTTGAAGATGTTGAGGAATTAAGTCAGGGATTGACCTGGGTATGTTTAAGACTCACCACTATGATGAGAGCCCAAACTTTATTATCCAAATATCTTGGATATTATAATAGAGAGAGGGTTCAGATGGTAGCAGATTAACATCTGACTACAATAGGAACTTGCTGTAGTCTGGCAGTGTTGCTTTGGATCTCTGCATCCTTGTATATAAAAGGATTTGAATGTTGTACAAGGTATTTTATCTCTACACACCTACAGAATTACTGAGCTGAAGATTGTGCAAGACTTCAGCATCTGATTGCTGTTGTTATTGGCTCCTCTGTAAGAGCTGCTCTGCTCCTTGTGGGGTGATGGGGTGTCAGATCAGCCCTGACTCTGTGCACCAGGGACGGGAGGAGGCTCCAGGCTGTCCGGGATGAGCGGCTGCGACTGCCAAGGCTGGGGAGCCTGGAAGGCTGAGGCACAAAGTGTGAGGAGACAAGTGGATTTACTTCTGCAGGCAGCAACTTCATCCAGTCCAAGGAAGAGGATGGGGGCTGAGGCAGCATCCGGATGTTTTGGAAGAGTTGAGTGGCTGAGCAGAGTAATTATCAACTGAAATTTAAGTAATGTAGCAGAGGAAATCTGTGCACTCCTGGGAATGCTAGTGCTTTAAGACTTTGAAAAGTCTGTCTTAAATTCACTGATTGTCTTTAGAGAAGAATGAAGGATGAAGCAATTCAGAGGAATTATTGCAATGAAGCAGGGTTTGCTCCAGTTACTCCAAGCATCCCTGTTTGTAATAAGTGTGTGTGTTGTGTGACTCAGTCTTCAGCATCTACAAAATATGTGTTGAATTAAATTGTTATTAGAACATAGCAGGACATGTTTATGAGTAAAGCTCCCTTAATAGCTCATCTGAACTCACTTTCATGATGTCTTGTACCATTCTAGTCCAATTCATGTTTCTAGTCTCACTGAAATAATTCCTTCCACGTCTGTTTTCTTAAAGCTACCACTGTAGCTGCACTGTTCTTAGCATGCTTTATTCTACAAATTATGCTAAAATAAATTAATAAATTGACAAGGCAGACCTAATGTCAAGAGCTTTACCAAAGCTGGTATAGATGTCATTTCTGATTTCTTTTTAATGGAGTGATAATCAGCTTTGCTGGTAACACTCCAGAAGAGACCTGTATTCCTTAATCAAGTTTTTTTAGATGTTGTTAATTGATTAGACTATCTTATTTGAATGTGAAATAACCAAGAGTAGTAGCTGGTGCTGTGGGAGAGATGTGTTGAGTAGGATTCAAGATCTTCTTGGCCCCACATACGACCCAAAATGCAGGAATTCTGCATAATAAGAATATTACGTAGAATTATTTCATCTGGACATAGATAAGTGTTGAAGTGAAATGTAAATAAATTTGCCTGCATGGTATTATTTTCTTCATATCTTAGACCCAGATGATTTCTTTTCCAAGAAATCTGTTTGGTTCCAAGAGTCCTTTTGAACACTGATGTGTTTGAAAGCCAACCAAGATTACACGTTAAGGTTTAGCTCTTTGTAGTTGAAACCCACTAGCGAGCCCATAATCAGCTGCCAAACTTTATAAAGGAAACATAAAATATTATGTTGCCCACAAATACCAGCTGTAAACCACTAATGTCTGCATTAGTTCAGTAACTTCAGAGTCACAAAGTTTAATTGACTAATGGGGTAACCTGTGGCAATCTGCTGCTTTGCAGCAGTGTTAGACCTACTGTGAACAGGAGGAGGAAATTTTACATAGTTCATCACAGTTTCAGTCTGTTTTTCTTCAAATGGCAGATAAGCCTTGAGGCAGAGCACGCTGGAAAAAGCAAATGTTCAGAAGGTAAACACTGTTTTTTAAAACAGACAGAGGCTGCAGTTATGGTTTGAGCAGAGTGAACTTCATGAGGAATGTTTCTCTTAAGGTTAGGGCATGGTGCAAGTAATTGGAATAACAGAAATGGAAACCTTTCACTTAGACACTAAACTCTGTAAGTGATTAATAGGATGATTGATATTGTGTATACAGGATAGACTGTGCCAATCTGCAGGAGCAGAGGAAAAAGAGATCTCCAGATATGTGTGGATCAAGGAATGTTGAAATCTTTCAGAGCAGAGGGCTGCAGATTTCACCAGGGGGAGAATGCTGAGTGTTCCTGGGGAATTGTGCTGGTGTGTGGGACTGCTGTCTCAGGCTGGGTGTGGTGGGGAGGTTGCTGTGTGCATGGCAGGAGTGATGGTTCTGCCTGCATTGAGGCCAAGTAAAGCTGTGCTGGGATCAAGTCTTACCAAAATACACAAAAAACAGGGCCATGGACACCGTGTTGCTCCATGTCCCTTGGCTGGCTCCTCTCTGCCTTGGGGGATTCCAAGCAGCTGAATGCTGTGTTTTGCTGGAGCTTCTCTGAGATAAAGGGAAAGCTTGTGATGGAATGCCATGAAAAGCAGATGGGGAGCAACGTGCAACTCAAACACCAGCTATTTACGCGCTGCTTACTCCAGACGTAATTCTTTCCAGCGATCCTTGCAATCAGCTCACTGGCACACCAGTGAGTAGTTAATGATGCACCAGGGTAGAAGAACTGAACTGAGAACAGAAGAGGAAATTAGGCTGGAAAATCTGAAAGATGCAGGCAGTGATTCCAAGGTATTCTTGGGGAAAAGCATGAGTCAATTGAGAGGATGAAGACAAATGCAAGAGAATGGCTGGTCCAGGCAGTGAAAGCGTCTGTACAGGCTTGGTGGTTTCTTTTCTTCAGTGAGCCTTTTAAAATACAGCTGACAAATTCAAGTAGGGGTACAGGCTGTCTTGATCATAGAGCTAAAACACAGGGACTTTTTCCCCCTCATTTCCTTATCTTTTCCTTACTTTCCTGACAGGAGACTGTTTCTTGAATTATAGAAATGTCTCGTGCTGAGACATGAACTAAGGCCTATAGTTTATGAAATCTGTTTATAATCCACTTTATGACTTAAGCATTTTATTAGTATTATTTTGATGTCTGTCAATAACCATTAGAAGTAGATTCCAATATTCTTCAACACTTATTTCTGTGCTCTAGTGCATTACATACTGCTCCAACCCAGTTAAGGTCTTGCTTGTGTGTTAGACTCATAGAAAGATTGATGTCAAATGTTCAAAAAAGTTATGCCAAACATATTATACATTTTGTGTCTACGTGCCATATTTTTGATGGCATGAAGACCAGAAAGGAAGACCAGCTGTTTGTCTTGTCCCTGTTGGATAGCACTAGGTCAGGGAGAGCAGTGTGGACAGGACTGAAACCCATGGAATATCTACAGCCAAGTAACAGGACATGCTCAGCTGGCAGGACTTGAGGGGTTCTTGGCAAAGGCAGGTCTGGAGGAGAGAAAATGGCAAACCAGGTCTTGTGGCACCAGGGAGAGTTCCAGTCAGCTGGGTAGGAGCACACAAAGAGTCACTGAGCTAAGTTGTCCTCTTTTAGGCTCTGTGTGGCCAAAGTTTCTGCAGCAGGTTGGACTCACTTGGCTTTAGAATAATAATTTTGGGGCCCTGTGCACTTGTTTCAGCTGTTTTGTATTAATTTGTTCTTGGATATACACAGCTTCTTACAGAATTATAGTCTCGGGGAAAGAAACATATACTGAGCACTGACACTAGAACTGAAAATGGGAGAAACCCATTTTTAGGGGAAATTTCATCTGCAAGAACAACTTAGAGGAGGAGGAGGCGGCAAAATGCATCGGGATTGATAACTTGCTATTTGAGATTTTGATGCTTTTAATGTTTGTTTGTACAGCCTGAGCAGATTTGGGTGCTCCGGTGCTGCAGATACTTTCTGCTGATGGGATTTTGGGTGTCAGGTATGGTATCTGAATGCTGCTTTCTTTTTCCTCTGCAGGGATCTAGAAAAAAATAACATCACAAGAATCACAAAGACAGACTTCACGGGGCTGAAGAATCTTCGTGTCTTGTGAGTACAACACAAAACTTGTCTGGTTTTTGTGAGACTATTTTAGGGTGCTAGTACTTAGAATTCCTGAATTCCAGGGATCAAATTCCAGTAATTTTGGTACATTATTCAGTTGTTGGTATTCTTTTAAACCAGGCAACCTGAACAGTTTGTCATGTGAAACAGTAAATTTTAGTTCTATACTAAAGTGACTGTAGTTGCTTTTGAGTTGCTTACTAGCTTTGAATAAGTCGTGTGCTAAAGATTTTGGTCTGCTTTGCAATCACTCATGCAGAAATCTCTTCTATTGAGACACTAGCAAATGGGACTTTCAGATTTTGGCCACTGTGAGGTACAGCCCCATTAACAGCATTTTGCATAGTACTAAGCAGAAGCTGATCAAGAACAGCTGTAGAACTTGAACACAACAAGACTGGTGAGGTTTTTTGGTCTAGTATACAGTCATGAATACAAAGATTTCAGCTTGTGCTGTCTCATGAGCTCAGTATCTGTCAAGAGCTAACCATACCTGTAGATAGGTCTTGAACATCAGGCTGCAGACTTTGTCATTCCTGGGTTCTCTAAATGAACCTCAAACAGCACTACTGAGTTAGTGATGAAATTTTTTCCTCTGAGTATCTTCTAAAACAAACCCCTAAAGCTGGAACTAAAGAACTGTTAGAGTTCTTTAGTAATAATTAAAGTAATATTTAAGTCCTGCTGAGGGAAAGGTGAGTCTTTGCTCCTGCTACCTTAATACTTATGAACAAATTGTCAAATACTAAGGAAACACCTCATATCTGTGGGAAGACTTTTTGTTCTTGTGGTGTTTCTCTCATCTCTAGCAGAGGAATTGTTTAGATTTCCTTGGCTCCCATCCCAGCTGTCAATACCATTTTGAGAGTCTATTAAAATACATGTTCTATACTATATTAATGGCAGTAGTTGTTTCAGTTTGGTTGGGTTTTCATAGTGTCAGACACTGCTTAATGCTGCTGCAGTCTTTTATGCCTTCAGGAATAACCAAAATGTACAATTGCAATCTTTAGAGCTTTTTTGGTGCCTTTGTCCTGTGCTCATTCCAGATCTATGTAATTCATTTGCTCAGACTTTGAGTAGTGTGGTGTCTGCCACAGAAGTCACTGGAATAAAGCATCCTTCAGATTTTCCTTAACTTTTCTTTGGTTTCTCTTATGATCTCTTCATAATTCTGGCACTAAACCCCTATTTTTCCTTTTTTTTCCTCCCTGCACTGTTTGCTGGGGGGTACAGTGGGAATACAGAAATCTGCAGCCTGTCCCAATGTTCCTAGAAAGGTACCATAATTCTGTTTGCACACATCAGAATAAGGACTAGGAGCCAATCACCTGGAAACTCATAGCCCTGTACAGCAGAAAAAAACCCCTCCAGTCTCAAGCAAACACCACACACTCAAAATGGATGGAAAGGAGAAAACCTTCTCCTTTCATCCCCTCCAGCTTCATCCTTTCCCCTTTTCCTCATGCAGTTTTCCTCCCTGTCCTTTAAGCAGCATGACTCTGTTGTTCACATGCTGGAGTTTTGTAGTTTTATGTTTTCATCTCCTTGGTGTTACCTGTGCCATCCTCTCTTGCTGTCTGTGCCCTCAGCTCCTGTCCAGTCCAAAGCTCTGAGCATCCTCAGGGGACTGAATTGAACAGGAAGGAACTGTGGATTTCCCTGGGCCCAGACTGTTCAGAGGTGTTTACACAGAATGTTCAGAGGTGTTCAGTGCTCTCACAGAAGCAGGGAGGGACAAGGTCACCTCAGATGGGACTGTTGCAATCTCTCCTCCTTGGCTTCCACTTCACCTGTCAAGAGCATTTCTGCTGTGGCAGAAATTTTGGCATTTCTGAATGGCAGCCATCCCCTGCACACTGCAAATCAGAGAGAAATCAGTCTCCTTTGCTTGTCACCTGTCCCAGTGTTGGTGTCAGGTGGAGAGAAAAGCAGGATCAGCCCCAGTGGAAGGCTGGACCTGTCCCAGGTGGTTTTGCACAGATTTTGCACAGTGGGGCTGCAGAGTTGGGTCACAGCTGCTGTTCCTGAGGGTGGAACCCCTTGGGAGCACTTCCAGAGGATTTGCTCCAGAGCAAGCCTGAAATCAGTGCAGGGCAGAGTCTGGACAAAAACCACATTGCCATGGAGTGGGTTCCTGTTGTGGGCTGTGGAAATCAGTTATCCCCATTATGGCACACAAATATCCCAGAAAGATGAGGAATGTCCCAGGGATGTAAGCACCAGCTTCCAAACCAGCACCTTTCTGAGCAAAATGTGGTTACAGAGGTTTAGGAACAAAAGTATTTACCAAATGTGGAGGTCAGGAGGAAAATTTGGAATCAATTTCCTGTTAGTGACCAAGAGAAACAGTGTTCCTCTGCCCTGATTATTTTAATAATCTCCAATTAAAACTGGTATTGATACTTGGGTGAAAAGCATTTTGGGGATGCTTTTCTGTTTTGTCAAAATTAACTGGTATTTCTGGAATTGCAGACACTTGGAAGAAAATCAGATCAGTGTGATAGAACGTGGAGCTTTTCAGGACCTGAAACAACTTGAAAGGCTGTAAGTATCTGTATTTATCCCTATGGAAAAGCTGCACATTTCTACCTCACTCTTAATGGTCATCCATAATATATAATGATAATAAAATTAACTTTCTTTAAGAGAGAGATGAGTACCACCCTAAATTAAAATATACTCTTAAAGACAGCTGAATTTACATTACATGATAGCTAATACTTGAAATTAAATGTAGAGTGACTGCCAAGAAAATAGAACTGGAAGTGAAATAACATTAGCAGAAGGACATTATCTGGGCAAGTCTTAAAATTGATATGTGGGGGAAGGATTTTTTTTTAACAATAATCTAATATTATTGTATATTTTTGTATTTTATATATATCTGTGCTGATGGAAATTTAAATTTTCTCCTTTGAGAAGCACAGTATTTCTAAAACTGCCTTTGTATTTAGTTTCCTGATTTGCTTCATTTCCTCTGAAGTAGGATAATGCCAGTGGTAGCAGTGGATTCCAGGGTAGCAAGGAAGACTTAGTGAAGGATGGATTGTAGATTTCCTCTGCTTTTGATAGCAATTAAGTTAATTTCTTTTCTTTTTTGGAGAAGGCAAGTATAAGCTGTCTCTTAATCTGGAATTAGTTTATAGGAACTCCTGGCCCTGCAGGAGTATAAATTTAAATATTAAAAAGGACAAAGTGAATTCTGCACACAATTTCTGCTCTTAGCTGGGTGTGCTCCTTTTCATCATCATTAATTCTGTCTGTTTATGGTGGGAGCAGAACGAAATCTCTGTAAAACTGAAATACCTTGGAGAATTATTCTTTGTTAGAAGTAGGTGACCAGAACAATATCACAAGCTGGTTTGGAATGCAGGCTTTTTATGCTTGATTAGTAACTGTTATCTGCAAGGCATTTCTTGTAGGACTTGCTATTTTCCCATTGATATTTTCTAAAGCAGCTTTCAAGAGTTAAGTGCCCACCAGCAATTATTCAAGAGAAGTCTGGAGTATTGAGCTAATGCTGTGCTAAAGCTGTTTCAGATGATCTCAGGATTAGGTTTGCATTGGAGTTGTTTAATGAGTGTGCTGAACATTTAAAATTAATTTACCCAGTACTTTTGTCATGAATCAGAAAGCTCCATCTATGGCAATAAGGGAGATGAGTTTTAAATTCTAACAGATTTCCACCTATATTCAATTAGAAAGTACTTTCAGGTGCAGAGTTTTGCCATGGCTGTTTTATTTCAGGAAAATAAAACAAAACCCTAGCTTAATTTTCTAAAATTAAACATAGCCTGACAATGTAGAATAGTTTTTTCACATTATATATCATCATGAAGAGTCAGTATCCTCACCACCAAGTTCTAGTTTTGAGCTCATTATATATACATGTGTATACATACATAAATCTTTCTCATACCTATATTTAGATAAAGACTCCTGTAGTTTTCTCATACCTATCTTTAGATAAAGGTTCAGGTGGTGTTAAATTTTGAAAGAGTTTTGAAAAACTTCCAGGAGAAAGGCTGGCTATTGGTGGCCAGAAACAAAACTCAAGTGTCATCTGTGTGTTTCTGCAGAGCCTGCTCTGCCAGCAAATAAGAACAATATACATTGTGAAAGCAGAAGGCAGGAAATAGGATACCTTTAATAGTGTCTCTTTAAGTCTGTGATGTTTGAAAGTCTCAGCTCTTGACTTGGCCTGTTCACCATACTGCATCTCTGCTTCTCTTTTAGGATTGCCTGTCATTAAAATATTTCCTAAATTAATGTAGTATGAAAGGGAGGTCTGGAAAGTTGCAAATTTTTGGTGTTTTAGCTTAAATCATTTTTAGGGCAAAACTATAAATCTGGGTTTTTGCTATGAGTAGGCTTTGGAGAATGGACTGTGGAAACTTTGGCGTAACTCACAAAGGCTAAATTGCAACATTTTAGGTAATATTAAAGCTATTTTATTAAGTATTGTCAAACATTGCAAAATGTTAATGAAGAAAGTATGTTGGTTGCATTTAAAAAAAACCTGGCTTCTTTCCATTTAATTTCTTTCAAATAACAAATAAAAATCACTTACATTGCTTCGATTTTTGGAATAATGTTCTTTTTTGATCTATTGAAGTGGATGCAAAAGTAATCATTAACTTATTTTTAAACCAAGCAGCTGTACTGGGTCAAACTTTAAAGAACAGGAGTAATTTCTATTCCTGGCAAAATACCACATATGAAGGTTTTCATTCAAAGTAACAAGGGAAGTATGTTCCACTCCTCTCCTCATGGTAGGCTTCCAAAGGGCTTAGGCTCAGGTGAATATTGGAGCTCATTTTACTTTCACTTGCTTGGACATTGAAGCACTTCCATCCTTATTATCTGAGCAAATCATGAACTTTTGTTTGACATGTCCTGTAAAGTAAACTTTAAATAAAATGTCTTTAGAGCTGGTACCCACTGCTGCCAAATATGCCATGGGGGTGGCCCTCCTGTTATTTGGATTTACTCTGATTTTTCTTTTTGGTGGGACATTAATGCTTAAAATGCAAATAAAGAAGGATATGGTCAGAATTGAATATTAGTTCAATAAAATTTGGCCATATCAGTTGAAGAAAGAGCATCATGCAAGGTATCTTTGAGTGACAGCAGAAAGCTGAGAAATGAAGCATTGTGGAAGTGGAAGGTAGAAACCACTTCTTTTTTTGGCATGTTTGTACTCAGCACTTGGGAAATGAAGGACTCTAACCCAAAATTCAGTGTAAGTTCTGCTGAATGCTAAGATCCAGAATCCTGAGAAAGACCAGTGGTAGTCACCACAGTGGAAAAGCCAAAATGTTTTCAGTGCTTTTATTGCAGCAAGGTTGTAGAGCTTTATTCCAGAACATAAAGATTAGTGGTGAGGTAGCTGACCCCTATTTTGGATTTTAGCATTTCACTTTTATGCTTTGCTATTAACACAGTGTAGGATTTTAAGATAAACGATGATGAAATTTCACGTGCCAGGAGGATCAAGAGGCGAATTGGTGGGCCTGAAAGATGAACTGACATTTCTTCCAGAGCCAGATGTATGTCACACATTTCTGTGAAAAATGAGGCAGGATATAAGACACCAACAGATCCTGACTTTTCCACGGCCAACTGCCAGAAATTGTCACGTAGCTCTGTAATCTTCAAAAGAATGGACTTTGGCTGATGGCTGCTTCTTTCTACTCAAATTAGTGTCTTTAGCAAGCATAAAAGATCTCAACATCTGAAAACACTAAAACTGTGTTTTTGTTGTTTAGGGGAGGGGGGAAAAATGTATAAGCACGGCCAAATCAAATCTTCTCAAAGTTGGGGAAAATAATTAGCTCTAAGAAAATAGCAAAAAAGCTAGAATCCAGATTTTAACCCTGGTATGGTTTTGGTTTGGTGTGTGTGAAGATACAGGTCAAAATGGAAATTAGGTTTGAGTTTTAACTGCAGTGATGCTACTGTGCATTGAGTCTTTGTAAGCAGTTTCCCAAATGCTTGATTGGGGTATTAAAGTATATTTATTTGGCACAGTGTACTGTAAAATTGCTATTAGTGACCAAAGATGCTAAGGAAAAGAATGAATTGTTATGTGGTGCTTCACAATCTGGATTTCATAAATTGAGATTGGACACGCTTTAAATAAATCATGTAATACAAAAAGCATCTTCCACAATTACCATGCTGAGTGGAGAGATTGGTAGGTGCTTCAGAGTAGCTGGGGAAGAAATAAAAGCTTTGGGCAGCTCTTTGCTGCTGTAAACAAAGGCAATCCTTGGCAGCATGGAGCAGACCCTGGTGTTTACACAAGGCTGAGCAGTTTGGGTGTTCCTGCTGGAGCTGCATGCACCACACATTTCAGAGGCCACAAGGAGCTGTGAAGATGTCACACAGGTCAAATGTAACCTTTCAGAAAAAAATTCTTTCTTGTTTTCAATCCCCATTTTGCTGTGGTATGGTGGGGAACACATCCCATTGGAAATCTGTGCTCATAAATTGCTGATCTGGAAATGCAGGAGAGCAAAGGCACCCTAAAGGGGATTTAGAGCTGTGACTGGGTATTTAATTGGTTTTGTCAATTGTGTGTTTCCCTCTTGCTGCTCCAGCTACCCCAGTGGGTTGGTTTGGTACCAGGTGTGCTGCCAGCCTGCCCAGGGGCTGCTGCAGGTGTCTCTGCTCACTGGAGTGAGGGTTTCATGGATTTCATGGATTTCTCTGCTTTCCCCCCAAAGACAGCAGCGTCCCAAGGAACTGGGTGTGGGATGTGTCATAACCTGAGCTGCACTTTCCTACTGCTGCAGGAGCTGCCTTCATGGGGGAAAAACAGCCCTGAGGTGCCTGATCCCAGGTCACAGGCTGGGGGTCAGTGGTGCCATCTCTTGTAAATGGGGGAGAACTGTTTCCATCAGAGACCACTTGGAAACTGAGCCACTCCTTGTGGGAGCTGGCAAAGAATAAACCCTGAAATTCAGGTTGTGGCACCTGGAGGTGTATCCTGGTCCCCTGGTTAGAAGGGCAGATTAGCACTTAGCTCTTGTGCTGCCTGCAGCTGTGAGCTAAGCACTATAAAACTCTTTATTGCATTGGTTGATGCCTGCAAATTTAAGTAATATTTATTGATATTGGTTAATATTTAATTAATTTTGTTCAGAACTTTCCCCCCACATCCTCTGAGAAATTACTCCAGTCATAAAAAAAAAAAGAGTCCTGTAACCAATATCTGACACAGCAATCTCTCTTACCTTGCATTCCCAAGCAAATTTAGCATTGCTTTTCAAATGAGTGTGACTGTTTACATTGTGAGAAGTCCAACATGAGGAGCCAGAATGTTTTGGGTGGGAGTATCTGACAGGGTGCTACTGGGTTTATTCCTGGATGCTGGTGGGACAGTCATGGAGCACTGGGTGCTGCAGAATTTTTACAGTATTATTTGAGTCCCTTCCCTTCATTTTTACTCCTAAGTCTGGGGTTTGTTCAGGGCTTCCATTTCAGACATCAGCTCTGAAAAATACATGGTAAATTAATGAGTTTATTTGGGGAGATGAATT